GAATGCAGTGTCGATTTCGTTCACGATACCCCATTCCCACCATACTGCTACAGTCGGTCCATGCCATCCATCCACTCCAAGAAACTGCAATTGTTTCTACTACGACACATATAAATAAAGAACAACGGCATGTTATTTTGTCACGTGTCAACAACAGTGATTTCCACCAACCTTCATTGTGAAAAGATTATGTTATGGTAAAGATTAAAATTACATACCCGGAACATCACAATTCATTCCCGTGTATCCACTTTCAATCTTGCAAGTACAACTGTACTTGTCTTTATTCACAGCAACGCACCATCCATTGCTATTTCAAGGGTTACTGGCACATGGACCTCTGGACAACTGCAATATAAAACATGTACTAGTAGAAAGAGAGTGTGTGTACAAAACATGTTATGTTTATATCTGTGTTACTGTGAGTCAGTAAAACATTGTATGCAATACAGTTTCTATACATAATAAATACACTGATTATAATAAGAAATACACCAATAAATCATATTCAGTATACAATTTAAACATATCAACATTCATTTTGTAAATGTATATCGATAGGAAGAAATGTTGCAAACCACGAAATTAAAGTAGTACATTATGTTTTGTTGAAAACAGGAGCTGGATCTCTTATTTGAATATATGAAAACTATTTCACAGTGAGTGGCCATGCAGTTGACACATGGCAATTCGCATTTTTTTACAGAATATTGGATCACAAATTAGACAAGTAGCCTTAATGTATAAGTTTTCTACATCCCAAAAAATCATTAATGTGTACGCACATACAACATATATACCATTTAACAAGTCTCGGTGCAGTTATCGTCCGTCACATGATTATTCTGTTTAGTGTTTACGTTTCAGTGTAAACAACATGTCATTTGACACATTGAGCAAGCAGCTTTATTAAAGCTGGTGCTTTTCATATCAATCAAATTCTACAATTTTCTACTAATAAATAACATCTGGCAACTTTTTAGTAGAACGACAGCCATATTGAAACTAGATTTCGTGAAAACTAACCTATTACACTGTTGTCAGAAATTGTTTATTGTTGAGCATGCTATATTTCACGTGTAATCGGGTTCACATGTTTGTTTCACACTTATACATAATATTCAACAATTCTTTATTAACAAACATCATTACATTACTACTGCGTCACCCATATATTTATCATTTTATTGACAGTCTATTTTTGTTATATTTCTGGTCTTTAGCATATCGGAAAAAATAACCGAACGCTGCAAGTGCTCAATAATTTCTTTTTATAATTCCCATAGTATACAGTAATTTCGCATACATCGAATCCGTTTCCATAAATGAAAAT